ATTCGAAAATTTTCACTATCGCATTAAAGTTGTAAAAAACAACTGCATATTTTTGAACTATGGTCCTCCTTCGAAGATGTTATATATGATAAAGAGGAGGCGAACATCGAAGGGAATTCATAACCAATTTAAATAACATAAAGTTATAAAGAAGTAGAACTGTCATCTTGTTCATATGTTTGATATATGAGCCTTTCAGTTGACAGAATGTGTAACTCCAATTTCAACGTTTTTGAGTAGTCATTTTAGTAATATTACTGTACAGTGAGTGAGTAAGTAAATTGATTCCAGAGTAGATGATTGCAGTGTTGAAATATAGAACTGTGAATAAAGGTATAAATTTTTCCACTAGAAATATCACTAAAATTAATATTGGAAAATTGAAGTCAGTGATTCTATCAACTGAAAGGCTCATGTAATAGTTGTATGCGAGCCGCTATATAATCCACGAGTTATAATAGACTATACTGAAAAGATAGTGTAACTAAATACTGCGGAACAAGGAACTGAATGACGTTAGCAAAAGATCGAGTACGTAAAAATAATTGCAGGGGAAAGTTGGGATTCGACACGGACTGTAGTGCAACGAGATGGTGATGGTTAATATTTTAAATATTATAATAAAAACGATGTCTTGAATTCGATACCTAAATATACTTTATTTTTAAAAATTTTAATTACTGTAGAAATGTTTTTTTCTCTGTTATAACCTATAAAGAGGCGTTGTCTGGTTGTACAATAACTCGAGTAAAAGGACCCTTTATTCGACAATCAAGGGTGCCCAGAAGAGAGTTTTATGGCGCAAGTTGCGCCATCAAAATTAATGAGGGGGCACTTATTGATGGGATTTTAAATTTTTAGGGAGGGGACACAATCCGACGGAGTTATGATTTTTCAAAATGAAAAGTTTCAAATCAAAAGACAAGTGGAATCATGAAACAGATGTGAAACAGGATGTGTAATGGTATGTAATCTAAGAATATCCAAATTCTATTTTCGTTTGCACTGTTTTTAAGAAGATAGGAATAAAATATCTTGGGAGGAGTGAGGGAAAGTTTATGCGCCATCGGCCTTGGGGAGAGAGGGGAGATGAACATTTTTTATTTTTTTAAGTGACACATCAACGAATGTGTAGTTAATTTACAGACTTAATGAACCTCTAAAGATTGAGGACACAGTTCGGCATTAAAGCTCCGATACTATCGTCTACTTTCAAAATTCAATAATACTCCTAGATAGATCTAAGACTCAGTTATGCAGTCTGAGGACTTCATCATATTACGCAGTTTTATGAAATTATAAATTTTTAGTAGTGATTTATTAATTAAAAAAAAGAAAATAACGCCATCATAAATATAATATAGAATTCAAAGGAGTTCTTAATGTTCAACATACTATTTAAAAGAGAAATTCCTTTAAGGCTGACGTGCGAGTATTTGTTCGCATTCATTACAAACACAAGAACGAATCACTGGGAAAGGCAAATCTCGCTTTATTCCTAGCTTAATGAACTGAATTGGGTTAGAACAACATAATATGGTCGTTCTATTATTTGGACCTAACATCTTGTAATGACAAGGGCGAACCCACTATTTATGGATGAGGGGTCCAGTGATGGATAGATTGGACTTTAAATGCAAATAATAAGCATCCTTGTTTATTGAAAGGTTCCAATTTTTTTTTAGATTGAAGAAAAATGAAAAATATTTACAACTGTATGAACAAACTTTCCAAAAGAAAATTTTGTTGTTTCTATGGTGCTCTTGAAATCAGTGTGTTAAACAACTTCCTGCTAACAGTTCTGCTTAGATTGAGTAGAACATTTATGTTAATTTATCTTTATTGTTGAATAAAGATTTTATAATTTTTATGTCTATTACTGGTACCGACCCCTTGTCAATTAATAGAACAATTGAATTTCAGGGTGTCCATCACTAGTGCAAAAAGGTGTTTTTTTTTTAAATGGAGATTATACTTGCATAACTGAATATTTTTTTTCAATTTTAAATTGTTAAATAGAAAAGGGAGATCCTAGAGATTCTAAATGTCCAACGGAGAAGTTTATAACTATAATAATTACGGCGACATAAGCCAAAAGACAAAACTTTCCTTAGCTATGTCCATCACTAGTGCGCTTACCGTAGTTAATGTAGTTTTTAAACATAACAACTAGAACTTGCGGATTGATGGTTGGCTGTAGTGAGTAATTGAAGAGAAGTATGGTTGGGGTGAACAGTAAAAATAAATTAGTAAAAATTAATAATTTTATTTATTTTTATTTTTGCCGACGTTTCGACCTAAAGTTCAGGCCTTCCTCAGGGCTGTTCAAGTGAAGAGCTGTCACAAGACTGTCTTGTATGAATAAAATTTCCAAAAGAAGATTTTAAAATGCCTATCATTGTTGTTTATAGTTTTTATTCGGCAAAAATAAAAAATAAATATAATTATTTATTTTTACTAATTTTTTTTTTTTACAGATCACTTCAACCATTTATCCACATTCATTTATCCAGAAAATAAATAAAGTAAACGAAAATTCTAGCCCAGAGGACGACTAGCTATATTCGTCACATGGAACAAACTTGAAGACAGACCAAGAACCATATCTATTCCCTGATGTCTAAAGATAATTCAATAATAATGCAACGTCATCTTATTAAAATGGAAGTGTAGTAACCAGGAAATGGACAGCGCCGTGATGAAAGCCGCGAGTTCTTTGGCGGCGACACACGCAATAATGAATCACTTTCTCCAATGCAGTCTTGATCAGCATTTCCACCATACTTTTTTTTTTTAATTCCCTTTTGGTCACTCAGATTTTCCCTCAGAACGAACTCCAAAATCCTTTGCGCCCAAATATATACAAAATAATACGTAGTATTATATATAAATATATAAATTAATCGAATTATTTAGTTAAGACAGCTACCAATTTGTTATTTTCGGATTCACAACGAAGCTGATAATTTATTTACTATAGTAGAAGATCAATAAGAAAAACTATAGAAAAGGAGACCAATTTAAATTTCCTATTATTTTTCTGAATTATTTAGAACATCAGCTATTGGTATTGCTAAACGTGGGCAAAGCCAAGATAGTAAAAATTGTTTACTGTGTTTGTAATGGATTAATTACTTGTTTTATTTCTGTACTACTTATATTATTTAAAACATAGATTTAATTGTGCTCATATTCGTCTTTGATTAATAAAAAATGGTTTCTTTTAATGGTTTAGGGTAGGGGAACCCTTTTAATACCCCTTGGAATTTCGCTATATTTTAAACTTCTTCACCTAAGTGGAAACTCCGGTCTTCATATACTATTAACGTCTTTCTTGAAATATTATTCTGTATTTTTGTTTATGTATCTTTGAGGCTCCTTAGCCCACATTTCTATCTTTCTGTATTAATCTAAAGGGACTCGTTCCAGAATAAATAAAGTATTATTATTATTATATTCATCTCTAAATAAGTTTTTATACGGTTTTATGTCTATTTATTTTACTTTTAGTGGTCATTAGCTCTTATAGTTTATTCAAACAGTAGATTTTTATAAGTTTAAGTTGCGCTGCGCTTTCTTAATTAGCGAGTTATTTGCATACGAGTAGGCTGGTTCTGGTCTACATAATAAGTGCGTGGTCGGCTTTGCAAATATGAACATTATTTTTAGATCTGCCTGATCTTTCTTCATTAGGGTGAAAATTAAAAATAAATTAAGAGATAAACGTCTTTTTATCGTTATTTATGTATTAAATTCAAAATAAATTACAGAAAAGATTATTAATTGAAATCATACATCTAGTTATTTTTTCTTAAGCCAAAAGAATGAAATTATTGCTTTGTAAGCTATAATTAAAAAAAAAGTATTTATGTTCTTTCTAATTCTCTTAATTGTTTTACTTTGAATATAATATTTATATTTCATATAATTTTATTGAAGATATTACATGTCATATAATTAATAAACTTTATAAATTATCATATTATTATAAAACATAATTAGTCGAGGAGGCATCAATAAGTAATTGAGAAATTAGTTACTATAAAAATTATATTTTAAGTAATTAAAATGTTATTTTTATTGTTGGAACAAAAATTTAAAATTTTTAAGTTTTCCTCCGGATCATGATTAGTCTGAAAACATGATATTCCAACAACATTCGTAAATTTACGTTGTTCTATTTATTTATTGGGTTGGCGAATAAGTCCTTTCGGTTTTTCAGGGGGAAATAAAAATCAATGCATTATAGTCATACAATTTATTTTAATTGACCATTATTTAATATGACTTTTCCCCATCTTTCACTAACTGCAAAATGCCATGTTGACAGAATCTCTGAAGTTTATTGTTAAAAAACTGATCCAAGTGGTTTTTGATGTCCTCTTCCTTTTGGAATTTCTTTCCAATCATGGAATTCTGTAGAGACCGGAATAAGTGGTAGTCACTTGGAGCTAGGTATGGAGAATAGGGAGGGTGGGACAAAAGGTCGCATCCAAGGCTCAATAATTTATTGCGAGTGACCAATGAGGTGTGGGGCGTTGTCTTGGTGGAACACAACACCCTTATAATCATTCATAACTCTTCAGGATGTTCTCCAAATTCGATGTTGCTATATCCGTTGGAAAACTGAATTATTGCTCTTCAATGCGGTATGAATGTTTGTTTTTTATTTAATGCCTACATAAGGAATAAATAAACCAAAACTCGTTATAGGTTTTTATTTTTATCTCTATTTGTAGTTTGTTTACGAAGGTCCTGTTGATGTCCGAGTGACCAATGAAGTGTGGGTGCATTCATAAACAAAAGAAGTTTGATCGAAAATCATTTGGGCCGAAGTATGTCAAACAGAAAATGATCTCTGTAACTGAAAATGTACAAAAGCTAATCCTATCCCACCCAAACCATTTAAAACAGTGGATATCTTAAAATAATTTTTCGTCTCTTAAAATTTAATTAAGTGATAATATTCTGAACAGCAACAAATATACCAATGCATTTAACTACGTAAATGCATTACTTCGATAAGACAAAGGTAGCAACGAATGCTTAATTCCAAAAGCCCTCCCGAATATAAAACCTGGGGAGAAACAATTGATTGCAATTTCGCGGAAACAGCTCTGGCGGTCAGAGCGAACTTTTCAACTTTCAACTGATCCCTTCCCCTCCCCCAATAGCTGACAAAAGTGTGGACACGCTCGGCTACTTTCCGATCCGAGGCTTTTAACGCAACGCTGCCCGCCATCAATATTCCACGCTCTGCGGCCTCCCGTCCTCGAGATAAAACCCAATATTGTACGATTCGCCGAATGCTTTCAACTAGTTTGGCCAACACCTAGCACTAACTGATACTCAACAATGACAACACGAATCTAATAGTTCGTGGAAATGGAAAAGACGAAAAACATGGCAGCTTCTAACTTGAAATGAAGAGAAAAGCGGTATAGATAGTATCCAACTTTTTTATGCATCGTATCCTTGCACGGACTTGGCTTAAATACAGCATTTATTAACAACGTACTGAGCCAATTTTTGAGCCAAGAAGAATTTTTTTTTCTTTTGATCACGCTCATGAACTACCTGAAGACTAAAGAACTAATCGAAATTTTCAATTCCGCTTTAATAAAACTGATAGGATGCATCAGTCAATATTCATTATCACCCAAAGTTAAATAAAAATTTATCATTTTAAAAGTTGATAAACCTTAAAAATATTACTTTAATTATAAAAAAAAAAACGTATCTATATAAATTATGACAATTCTGTGTACTAAAATATTTGTATACATGGAGATCCAGATTGTGAATGTGCTAACTGAACACTTATAAATGTCCTGAATTGAGACAGATTGTAATATTTCTTAATAAACAAGTAAATAGAAATGGAGATTTCTTTTGCTTTGTTTTTTCTGTTAGCATTACAGATCATGTAGATTGATCTTTTGTCACCTTAACCAGCCTGCACCATCTCTGCTTGTCTTGAGCCATTTCTTTCCATTTATCTGCACGCATCTCTATTGCATCTTTGTTGATTCTATCTATCCATCAGTTTTTGGCATTCCACGTGATCAGCCTTCTATGAAGGCATTCATTGTTACTTAGAGGCTTCCAGATGGATTGCTACGAACTCCCAATCTTAACCTCCATGCCTACATATCATAGGATATTGATTGACCAGTTTCCGCGAGCAGTCCTTTATTGGTCTTTCTTCTCCATGTGTTTGTAATCTGATCCCAGATCGCTGCGGTTATCGTGCAGAGGATTTTTCTCTCAAATCTTTCAACACTTTTTTCTAGGCTGCTGGTTAGTGTCCAGGTCTTACAGCCATATATTAGAACTGCTTTTATCATAGCATCGTACAACCTTAACTTGAGATTTCTTGAGAATTTTCGAATTCAATACATTTGAAAGGGAGAAGAAATCCCTGTTTACGCTAGTCTATTTCTGCAGATATGGAGATATAAAATTAAAGAGTTAACATTATAAGGATGAAAAATAGTTAACAGTCATTTATGATGTTCATTAAGTTTGCCGACGTTTCGATTTAAGCATGTAGATCATCATCAGGGCAATGGTTGACAAGAACTTCTCATGAATCAATAATAATAAGTTTTTGCCCATCCAGCGACCATATAAATGATTGCAGATCATGAATATTATTCATCCTTAAAATATTTTTAATTCAAGACAAAAAAAAAATAGTTTTCCATATATTTTCTATGGAAATTCCATGTAGTTTGTATAGAAACGTCTGTTTTCCATTCAACAATATGAAATTATGTTTATTAACAAATATTATCTTTTAATTCTCCCCTACCTTTTATGACCTTATATCTCTTTATATTACATCTCTCTATCATATAAAAACGATTTTAGTGACTGTGTCATATTTTATTTAACATATACAAAGCAGGACGGACCGCATGTTATTATTTAAAATTATTATTACATTATTCAACAAGAATTATTAATTTATTGATTATATTGAGGACTGAATAATAAAAAAACTTTAAATCAAACAAAACTTGCGTATGGTCCAAATATTAAAACGTCATATAAAAAAACATCGATATCCTACACTACATAAATAGTTCCTTTTATTTATTTTTTTTACCATTACACCACAAGTATCCTAAGATTTTATTTTATCTTAGTGTCTGCATATTATTATATAAACCACTGTAGATATTATAACATTTTGTAATAAGTTAGTTTTCTATTAGATTGCCTATTGTTTATAAATTGTGTAGTTATGTACATATAAATATGTAATTTCTCTTCTTTTTTTTTTTTTTTTCATCACAATTAAGTAATTTTGAGAAGATTTTATGTTCATTTGTATATATATTTTACTTGTTATTTTTTACTGGTTACATACTTTTTAAATAATGTATATAATATTAAAATCTTTATAAGTTAGTTTTTGGCCAGATTTGTACTTTACTTTGTATTAACTCATCATTGTTATTCTAAAGGGACTTAGTCCCAGAATGAAGTTTAATTTTCTATTCTATTCTATTCTATTCTACATGAAATTTACCAAGAGAAGGTGAGTAATGGGAGACTGAATGCCAAAAAAAAAATCATTAATATATTCTGTGAAAAAAAAAATAATATCTACGTAATAGTCGAGGCCTAACGTACATAATTAGACTCTGGGAAAAAGAAATTACGGAGAAAACTGCATAATTATGATAAATATTCACTTTCTTTTTATTTCATTTCTGCTGAGAATTACATCAATAATTTCAATAAAATATTTGTTTCAGTAATTCAACTGCTAGGCGCTTGGTGTAGGCAAAACCGTCATAGCATATAACTACGTCTTATTTATTGTTTATAATTATACGATTCGCTGACTGAAAGTTTAAATTACATTTGTTTCATTTTAGAACAATGCTTGGAGCTATAAATTTATAAATATATGTTTTACGTTCGAATTTACATGGAAAAACCTAACCCTAAACTGAATCGATAATGAATCCTACATCACGATATTGAGTGAGCCTAAATGAGAAAGCCAACGTAAACTTAATGCCTAGAATATATTGAAAGATTTATAGGCGGGTTGTAAACAAAAGGAAAAAAGTATTGAGATATTTATTATTCAAAATTTCATTATTTTCTTTTTATATAAGTAACTCATTATTTTATTTTTTTTTTCATTTTTTATATAGATTTTCAGAAAATTCCCTGATTTTTTGATCAGTTTTCTTTTGTTTTAGGAAATTTCGTCATCGAGATATATTACAATCTGTCATATTTAAGGACAATAGTAATAATGATAAAGAGTAGCTCATTCATACTATGCACAATAAATAAACAGCAATATAATGATACTAAAAGTAAATGAATAAGTGAACCCACAAGGCTTTCAAGGGCGGAAACTTGGATTTTTTATATTAACTACATACCTAACAATATAAAAAAGAAACTTGAATTACCCAACGCTTCGAAAGGTAACATGTCTAATTAGACTGGGCTACAGTATAACCAGACGTAAGTTGAAAATTTTAATTACGAAGATATGTTCTTGAAAATATATAACATGAAAAAAAAATATTTTATTGTAGATATAACTAAAAAAAAATAAGTAGGTTAAGAGGCTTAGTGAAAAAAAAAGGTTTCTTCCTTAGGTTGATGTAAGACTGACTTATCGCATTTGTAAGAAATAAGGGAAGTTTTTTTATTTTAATACGATTAGTAAATGTTGCTGTAGAGTTGCGATTTAAGAACATGGCATTTTTTAAATTTAAATCTTGAAGCGAATAATTTAGATTTAATGATTAATAGTTTAATAGAGAAGGAACATCAAAGAGAATCACGACCAGATGAGATTGAACTGCCTATAAAAGTTATGAACTTGGGATATTTAAAAACGTTCGATCGCGTTACGAGTTTCCTCCCCTAAGTTTCTGTTATTAATATTCATCATATACTTAAATGTATACTTTTGTTTGTTATGTTTTTTTTTTTTTACTAATTACCAAACCTCCAATAGCTTGGGTGATTGAGAAAATAAGTGCTCGTTGAAGATTCAAACAAGGATCATACGGCAGGACTCAAATTTTCGAACTAAGGGTAGGGCATTCCGCCGCTTTGTGCCTTAATTTCAAAGCAGATGTTCGAAAGTGAATGATCGTAGAGTACTCTTGAAAGAATCCCTGCAATTTCTTTGTCAGACAAAGACTATTGTTCAAAATATGTTCCCCCAACTTCACATCTTCCAAATCCAAAAATCGAAGTTTCAACTTTCAAGTTCTATTCCTAGACATAAGATTATTCAATTTATAAAATGCTCTCTAGACCTTAAAAATGATATAAAATAATCATTCAATAGTAGTAAAACGTAAACAATCATCATTCTACAAAAATAGAAATGATGTAATTGGAGAAAACCTCAATAAAATTGCGGACGAGACAAATGAAGTCTGCCTTTTTCCTCCTCTAGCTACAATGGAGAGGACGATAGATGCCGCCTTAGTCTCAACTCCGACATCAAAAGAAGAAAATCTCAGCTTAGGTCGGAACAGGGCAAGAAATTAGGTCAGGGTTGGAAGCTCGTTTCTGAATCGATGCAGAACTAGACGCATGCGCCGCTGGCATCTTCCATTCTGGGTAAGATCTCAGAACAGCTCTGGCACCACAAAAAGAAACAATGCAGAACTGAGTTAATCCGGAAGGAAATGGTCCATAACGGAAAGCTTCAACTTCATTCCAAGAGAACAAGAAATGAATTCGTTCCCAACCACAATTGATTGGACGAAACATCGGCAGTCGATCTTAGAAAAAGATGTATGTAATTTGATGATAGATGATACCTTTGAGAAAAAATTAACGGAGAAATGTATTGCGCCATTTAAAAATATCCAATTAAACATAAAAAATTCTAAAAAAAAAAATTAAACCTTGATATATCTTGTAATATTGAGTAGAGCTTTCAAAAATAAGTAAATCATGATAGTGAATAGTTAATTTGATTTTCTATCAGATATATTAGTTGCAGTTACATATAATTTTTTTTTTTTTTCCTTTATATTGAACTTTCATTTTCATCTCCAGCTTTGATTTTTCCTATTTTAAATCTATTGTAATATGTTCTTTAAAATTGTATAGAAGTTAATTTTTTTTTTCAAAAAAATAAGGAGATATAATCCATTATCTCACTTTATCCACTTATCAACTTACATAACTTACAATCCATTATTATAATAATAAATACTAACTTAACTAAGAATAGCTCTAGCTCATTATTTGATAATAAAGATTATTTCAAACTTAAAAAATTTTAAAAAGTGATTTTAGAATACGTTTGGTGGTCTGACAGTATCTCCTATTATAAACTTGTTTCCAATAACTTGCTGTTCATCAAATTTTAAATATTAACATCAACATTTCATCTACTACAGATTACTATTAAAAAGAAAATCCTTTATTTCTTTGTCATCCCTTGAACAAGACTTTTGAAAAAATAATAATTAACAATTATAATATTCCAGCATAAAAGTCTGATACACACCAAATCAGTTGAGTTCCTGTTCCATCACTTTTCATCAACGTCTAATTTCAGAGGCAGCAGTGATGGTTGTCAAACATGCTCGCACACCTCTGGTTGATTTCAATAATATTTGAGATGACAATGCTTTCTGAGTAAGAGGTTAATTAAAAATTTGAAGTTGTTTATTTTATTCTTTCAATATCTACCATTTCTTAAACATTCCTACCTTCTTTTTTTACTGTAAAAACAGTTTTATTTTTATTCTAGAATTTCATTCATCACAAAATATCTCTTACCTCTAACAGGTTGTAGCTTAGACAATGGAGTCTAAACTATAGAGAAATTTATGGTTAAAACGATATTTTAATATTGAAATAAAGAGTATGAGAATGAAGCCCTATTGTTATATTGATTAAATATACTAATTAAATCGTGATCACATAAATAATGAAGAGCCAAAATAAAGTATTTTATCATTAAATTCCTGTCAAAACTTAAATTCATTTAACATTAAAAAAAATAGTTTATCTGTTTATACAATTCTCAACATAAGCATACATTTAATATTTTTATGCTATCTCCATTTAATTTTTGGTACCTTCTTGACCATCATTTCCTAGAATAATAGTTATATTCAATCCAAAAATGAGTCCTAGGCACCTGATATAATATAAAATGTTTTTATTAAAACTCTTGAATATAAAAAATCTTGCAACATTTGAAATTTATCCCAAACAGAGACTACTTATCTAAGGAAAATTAGATTACATAAATAATTTTAACGCTTCCTTACTCAATTCTTAAAACTTTCAAATAGAAGATAAAAAAATATTTAAATTTAAAAAAAACCCTGACTACAGAAATTGGGAAATTCTATCCTCCCTGAGGGAATGTACTTCCATATCTACCGAAACATTTTGGTAGATTGGAAGGGAAATTGACATCTACGAATGTTTAAACTTGCTGAAGTGGATGGGTTCCTTTCAATACACATAAAGGCCCTAGGCAAATATAGTTCATCCCATGTATCAACATGTAGTGCATGTCAACATCTGAAACAGCCTTGTGCATGGAAACATCCCCAAGGTGGATAAAATTTCCCAATTTCTGTATTTTTTTTTTAAGTTTTTTTATTTTTAATAAAATGTTTTCATTATTTTGAACTCAAATTGTTTCAAAACATTCACGGAATCTAACTGAGTAATTACAGAGGTCAAAGTTAAAAATCGATCTTGTCATCTGCTCGAAAAATCTATATGTACCTTTTAGCGGAATGATGACGGACACAAAAATTTGACAGAATTTTTAGCTCAAACTATTCCAAAACACTCACTGAATAATTTGAGCCATCAAACTTAAAAATTGATACAGCTATTCGCTAAAAAACAGCACTACAAATCTTTTTTGCAAATGGATAAAATACATCTTATTTAATAACAAATCAGCATATTTTGTTAAAATTGTTTCAAAACACTCGGAGATCTCACCAAATAATTTGAGCCATCAAATTTAAAAATCGATCCAGCCATTCGCCCGAAATAGTGTTACAAAGCTTTCCGCTAATTGATAAAATACATTTTATTTAATAATGAGCCAGTATTTTTAGCTCAAATTGTTTCAAAACACTCAGGGGATCTCACCAAATAATTTGAGCCATCAAACTTAAACATTTATCCAACCGCTCGCTCTAAACAGTGTTACAAAGCTTTCTGCTAATTGATAAAGTTCGTTTTATTTAATAATGAGCCAGTATTTTTAGCTCAAATTGATTCAAAACACTCAGGATACCTCACCGAATAATTTAAGCCAGCAAACTTAAAAAAATATAGAGTGGTTCACTCAAAAAAGAATTATGTAGCTTTTAGCGGATGACCTTAACATATAACATTTGTTTCGCTTCGCTTAGCAGGTAAAAACTGCTGATTTCATTGGTAATGTTCTCCTTATTATAATTTATTGCATATTCCAACTGCAATATGTATTTGAAGTATGCATGGTTAGCATTTCATGGGGCATAAATAAATTAATCCTGATAGATACCTTGCTCATTTTAATAAAAAATTGAGTTAGGCAGGTGTTAGAATTAATGACCATTTATAAATTTTTAAAATGTTACAATAGTCACATATAGCATATTATGGCACCCAGTTTGTAGATAAATACATAATTTTTTTCATAATAATTTTAAAAAATATGAGGCAATAACTTTATGTAATGAGTTTTTCTAAATTTTCACATAGCATATTAGATCAAAATTAGAATCAGGGCTACCGAAGTGTGAGAGCTCTACGACAGTAGCTGAGAGGAAATTCTTTTGAAGGATGGATCAGTTGTAGGTGGCAAGATGTTGGAGTTAGGCATTTTAAAGAGCTAATAAATATATATGGCAGAAACAAGTACTTTCGGGGTCAGAATGGTCCAACGCCTTAATACTTAAAATCAACTATGCACCATTGTGTGGAGTCCCAGGAGTCAGTGGACAGTCGAAGGAAGTTGGGCCCCACTGTCTTAAATGTTGCATAGAGTCTGAAACACCAGGCCATGTGCTGGGAAAATGCACTAACAAATCCTTCCTGATAACATGCCGAAACCATAGGGTCAAAATCGAGTTGATAAGACTCGATAGGAAAAGGGGATTCACGTGCTTCGACGAGGTGTATTGTATCGATAGTGATGGTTCAACGAGATATGCGGATATAGTTGAATTCTCCAGGACCAGAAAACCGGCACTGGTCCTAAATCCAAATGTTCGCTATGAGAGCAATGACCTCGATGAGGCCAGCGAAGTAGAATAAGAAAAGAAGAGAATATACGATAAATGTATTCCTTTCCTAAAAGAGAAATTCAGCAAGAGCTTCGAAGATAGAGAGTTCAGTGTGAGAGGCCTATGGTTTGGGTATCGCGGTACGATTCCTAAAAGAACAAGGAGCTTCTTTGAGGAACTAGGTGTTGATGTAGGGGAGCTGGCCGAGAGCATTATTCTAGACTCCCTTGGGATCATTCATCACCATATATATGGTAATTAGGGTTTAATTGTGGATATTTATTATCATTTATTTATTCAATTTTAAATATTTTAAAGGAAGGAGATTGTCAGGGGAGAGGGAGGGGTCATAAATAGGCTAAATAGTAGTAAAACTATTTTATTGAAAGCCGACGTTTCGACCCGACTTTGCAGGTCTTCTTCAGGGCTAGAACGGACAAGATACAAAAAGATAGAGAATTACGGCAGTTACATAATATTTAGACAAAGTTTATAAACAATGTGAATAAGCTTATTAAAATTACAAACAGTAAGTACATTAAATATTTTAACTAATCACATATTTTTATCTATGTTCATAGGATTATATTACTTGCTATGTGAACAGTCTAATTTTCTTTTGGAATTTTGGCATTCGAACATCTTTTTTTTTTAATATATAAATTTCAGATTGTTTTTTACTGAAATATATATATTGTGTAATTGTAATTATGTTGGTATGGTATAGTATTAATTGTATACCATTGTATATGATGAGTGATAAGGAAAAGAATTTGTATATATATAAATATGTAATTCAAGTATAATTAAGTGCTATGACCAAAACAAAGGATTGGTGAGTATGCTGTGTATCATCTACCTTATTAGCTCTGGAGCCAGAACCCAGAATCGACTCGACCTCATTTCAGGGGAAGGTTTGATTGTAAATTACGAAAGTAAATGTAATTTTGAGTAAAAAGAATGTTGTCTGCCGTTCCAGAGCCGCTGCTTTCAAAAATGGTGGCTGATTTAAAGAATATTAGACCAGTAATTTAAAGATCAAAACGGGAAATACATTGTGAGAAAAGTTTTTATTTTTTAACTTGTATATAAGGGTTTAGACATGTAAAAAATAAAATTGATTTTATTTCGATTTTTTTTTTGTTTTTTCACCTATAACTCCTAAAACAAAAAATGTTCTCTTTAATATATTGAAGAACGTTAAATAGTGCATCGAACAAGTACATAAAGTTTATAATTTGGTTACGTGGTAAGCTATAAAACCATGGTCAAACAACACTGATTTTTAACAAATTTGTCAAAAACTGAGACAAATTAGTATAAATGGCGCTGTAACTTGGAAAA